GCCCAGTGTACGGCTTCAAGCATGCGGGATACTGATCTTGGTTTCTGCTCACTGCACGGCAGTGTGGAAAATCGCACCAACGTTCACAGGATACCAGATTGCACAGCCGCCAGGCCAGCTGGATTTTCTGATTTCTTGCACCTGCAGACTTCTCCTCAGGCGCAGCAAGGTACACCGGCACATGTGGCCCCATCACCCAAAACTGGGAAACATGCCAAAGTGCAAACCAGCTTCTCAGTCATCAGCACTCAACGTGTTGTGCGGGACAACCTTTCGTGGGCTCGGCGCGGCAGCGAGGGCTTCTCCCACATCGACGTGAACCTCAGCACAGCGCTGCACTCTGAGCCAAGTCATCCCAGACATACCAAACAATCCGAAGCCCTGAAGACTCCAGCTGGTAAGGGCAAGTTTCTGGGTTCGCTGCATGACAACCGAAACAATATGAGACCTGGCCTCGGCACCAAAACGACCACAAGAACAGAGCTGCTGTGGGCCCGGCCTTTTGCCCAAGATGAAGGCGGTCACGGGAGTACACCGCCCTTTGCCTGGAACGGCAGCAGGTACAAAGCGCCGCTGAAAGAAAGCGTGAACACATGCTTTCCCCGAAATACTGGACTGTCCAAACTCCATGCCCACATGGCGGCACAACACCTGGCTTCCGACCTTCCGGCGACGTACACGGTAATTCTGCAGCACCTGCATGGACTGAGCTGCCTGGGCAAGGCACCAGCAACATCTAGACATGAACCCTAGCCCCAGCCGTGCAGCCGACAACTGAGGTCATGGCAGCGCAAAGTAGAGGCACGAGGAAATACTGTTGGATGGTATTATTCGCTCGATGATGCCTGTAAGGATCGAATGAATTTCACCGCCGAAATTCCAGCCCTTGCTGATCGTGGCAGCTCATGAACCTTGCAGAGCCTGAGACGCGGATAACGCATCAAACCGACATGCAAAGGGACCTGAAAAATGAACACCACATCAGCTGACCAAGAACGACAGGAATCAACAAAGAACACGCAGAATTAGGAAATCTCCATTTAGCACGTTCTCACCACTTGGCGGGAAGCAAAGAAGAACAGGAGTTTACGCGACCCAATCATTTGAAGGTGAGAATGAAAGGAACCTCAAAATCTTGAAGTGGCTTCGAAGATTGTCTGGCTTTAACAGTGATAGAACTAATGATCGAATAGTGGTTGGAAGTTGCCGATGATGTCCAGTGTGGTTTGGCTGGGCTGCAGCATTGGTGAGCCCAGTTGCTGAGCTCCTTGGTGCGAAAGGTTCAGTTAATCTTTCCATGATGGTCGTCGGACTGTCCTCAGCTACTGACGGTGTGCTGGGCAGTGACTGGGTGTAATCAACTGTGCATGGGAAGCAATCCAAATCGTTCTGCCAGTCGCAACCTGCATTGAAGGTGTAATTCAGCGGCAAGACTGGTATGGCCTTGTACTACTAGTAGCACATGTGATTCGCTGAAGCTACATGAACTTATCAGCCAGCTGCCGCAGGGGTGGCGAGGTGGAGAATTGGTGGGTTGCCGCGACGTGCTAACGAAAATTACCCCACTCCACGAACCCTAATTACTGACTCATTTTTGTCCAAGCAAAACACATGAAGCTTGAACTCAAAACCGAAGTGGATCCAAACAAGACTCGGAAACCGAGCGATGTTGGGACCGGCCTTTGATGCTTAAGTTAGTGCCTCTTAGAATGCCATCCAGCTTTTCCGTTGCTTGCTCTTTCGCCGTCGCTGTGCCAAGAAAGCCGATTCAGCAGATAAGGTGGTCCAAACTCCAAGACCCTGCCCATCACTGTAGGCCGGAAACGGTGCTTTAAGGCCAGTCAGTCGGATGAACACCTCCATCCTTCCATAGATGGGACTATTGTTGACAACCGTCATACTACGCTCGTCGGCCATCTTAGCGCGTGCTCCGCAGAGTGCCACCTATGTACAGGAAGGGCGGCAGATCTGGCAGAATACACATCAGCATCCATCAAGCTAGAGCAATATGTCAACAAGTGTCGGTGCACGAAGGTCAACTTGCAGCGAAGGGGGCGAGCTAGATCAGGAGCTCATCAGGTCAGAGCCAAAAGACCACCGCCCTGGCAGGAATGAACAAACACTGGGATGAACCGAGGAGGATAACCTGGATTAACAGAAGAAGCACAGGCACTCCGTATTGCAAGGCGGCATACCCGCCTGCACTTTTGCCGAACACTTGGGAATGAATGGGTCTGTAGCCGACTCCAATCCGTGTGAAAGTACAAAGGATACAGATACCGTGACATCTCTGCTAGCAGGTGCACGAAGCATTTTACAGTTTACTATGCGCGGCTGCACTTGTGCCGTTGGGTCCGCTTTCAACAAAGTTGCGCAGCTCTAGCACCGACATGTGGCAAGCTCAATGTTCGGCGCACGTGATGTCGTCAATGAAATCGCAGAGCCGCTCTTGCATCCTCAGCCACCCAAAAATTCGACGTTCGTTCGCGCTGCTCCAAGGTTTTGCTACTCGGTCCGATGAGCTGCAGGCGCCCGATGGACTCCGACCAGAGTCACCAAACAGAAAATCGGAGAACAGAACAACATGCAAGGCGGCTCCTCTGAAGCTTGGGTCTTATACACTCTTCAACTTCCTATACTACAAACTCAAGTCTTAGCAATTCAGGGCCCATCGTCTCTGTGCCTCAAGGATCCCGAATGTGTTAAGAGTTTAGAGACGAAACCTTAACACGGGGACTAAAGGTTGTCTGAGGGCGCTGCGCATCCCAGTTGCCACGCGACTGGTGGACAAGGGCAGTTGCTGCATATTGGACCTGGAAAGCTGCAGTCCGCAACTCTAGCGATCAGATGGTGAAAACATACCTTAAGCATGTCTACCTGCCGTTGAGGCCGTTGAGAGTTCGAGGATGGTTGGGTGCTATACCATCGTAACCTCTGCAGGCGCAGAACGTGGCACATGCTTCGCTGCCCTGTTCACTGTGAGGCATTTTCGGATAACGACATCTAGTGGAATGCTCGTCCATGTTGCGTTGCGGCCAGCCATTAACCGATCCGATCCGGCTTAAACAGTCCTGGAGAGGGGTTGCAACTGTACGGACGCTGCAAGAACACCACGAATCCGCCAACACCACTGCACCCAGGGCATCGTCCTACGGTTAGGGCCCCAACGGGTTGCGATGTTTTTTTGCTTTTTGCTTTACTTGCCATGGCTAGGGCCTAGGGCCCCAACGTTGGACTTGCCCGCCCTTTTGATGCGGTCAGCAGCAACCTCGAGAAGGCTTTGATTGAGCACGGGCCTAGCACCGCCAAGGCTGCAGTCACTACGACTGTACACAAGCGATGCCGTCGTCTCCAACCTATGGCTTTTGATATGAGCTAAAGTCTCCAAGTTGAGCCCTGGCCTGGTCTTTGAGGAACATCCACAAACCATCGGTGCCCAGGATTACCTGGGGAGTGACATGTCCCATGCCTGTGCGCTCGCGGGGATCATCCGAGACTCTCAATTCTGAAACACGGGTCTGTGCCGACTACCCTGGGTCGGGTAGGGTGCTATCACCCCGATCTTCTTGTCACACACCAGCAAATGCCAATTGCCACAGTTGTAAATTCAAGAGATCACAAGTGCGACATCCCGAAAAACTACACTCAGGAGGTGGAAGGAAGGTGGAGCTTTTAGTCCAAGACCTTATATGGATCCTACACTGATCCTACTGTTTGATGTTTATGTCAGGACCATGCACTACCGGCCACTGGCCCAACCTACCCCCAATCAAACATGCGGAAAGTCTTTTTTGCCAAACTTCCCGACCACCAGCGACGAACTACCTCCCCTCCAGTCCTCAACTGCCTACAGTCGCAGCTTGGCCAATGACGAACTTGATGCGGACGCTGTTGTCCCCGTAGTTCCTCTGCGCACTGCTCAAGTTGGATTGCTAGGAGTGCTCGAATCAGGGCAAAAGGTCTCTCAAGGGTTCAGAACAGCGTGCAGAAACAACCCATGCCACAAGATCTGAGACAGACTCATTACTCTGTAGCAGCGGCTCCCAGAAACCCCGTCGAGTCGGCCTCAATACTGCGGATGTATGCGTTGCCAAGAAGCCTAACCTCCTGGATCAGCCGCGAGTGGTGTCATCAAGCCCGAAACCCTAAATAAATGTCTCCGGATTCCGCAATCCAAACCCGTTTCTTGAACTCTCTCGTCGATGGACGATTTAGACTGGGTCCCAGGCTGCTCCACGGGGCGATCGTTCACCTCCGTTCCCACAGATGTGCAGTTTTCTTTCGGACTGTGCAGCTTGGAGTCCAAGGAACGTTTTTGATCAGACTTATAGAAGCAGCCAAAGCCCGCTAAGCGTCGTGCCTTTAGAAGCCACGCTCTGTACACTTGCGTCTTCCACTCCGGATCACATAGACGCCTGGATTCCAGCTCCTATACACCTACCAATCCAATCCGAAAAAGACGAAGTACATCATGCGTGAATATCTGCTCTAGGTGCAGCAGGATTGGATGCAGAGATTGCAGGTGAGCGGTTTCCGTGTTCAATGTGAGCCTGGCTTTCGCTCAGGCCTCGGAGGTGCTCTTACGTGTTTTTTTTGCGTGCTTTAGGGTTTCTGGAATTTCTTAGGATCGGAGTGCCGGTCCTTGCTTTTCGCCCGAAGAGAAGTCTCAGGTGCCGGGTGCGCGAAAGACCCCGAGAGCTTCAGACCTTTGAGGCCGGGATCTCTGGGACACATGCCGCCGAGGCTGTAAGAACTGGTGGTGAAAGGCTTTTTCGAGCCTTTGAACCATCCATATGACATATGATTTCTTTTTGACGTCCTGCTGCTGAAACTTCGACCCTTCGAGCCTCAGTATTTCGATACCGCTGACCGGTTGAGAGCGGCGTGCTTGCGCTCGGCCACAGAGCCAGGGAAGGAGCATGTGACTGATGCTTGGCTGCTTTGTTGCAGTAGGGCTCGCTTGCTTCAAGACGCTGGTTGCTGGGTGACCTCGACAGTCTCTAAAGCTCTGTCGAGCTTGGTGGGCACTTCCATGCGGAAGGCCAGGATATGCCGTCGTGGACCGTCTGTGTCCTGGGCTTTTCGAAGATGAAGGATAAGACAACTTTAGACGTCTTTTACCACCCTCGCTGGGATCGGGTTGTGGCACTTCGACAATGCAAGGGTCTGCCAGGAGGGATTCAATTGAACTGGAGGGCAGAACGCGCGAGCTAGACACTTCTCGAGGAAGCCCTTGGGACTCCGAATCACATCCATTTCGTCGAAAGATGCCCAAAGTCACCGTAGTGGAAACATCGAAGTCCTAACGCCTGGATTATCATGGAATGTAGTTATTAATTAGTTGCGGGGTCTGTACCTGAAGCTTGTCTCCATGAAATGAGAGTTTGGGCACAGCCACGCGGGCGCACAGTCTTCATCGCTGGCACCATGGGGCAAGTCGTGCTCCTCCTCGTCGTAAATCGTCCTGGCAGTTTGCCTTAATACTATCGGATACTTTCGAGTCTGAAGTCTGAATACTCCCAATATAGAGCTTATACGGGCCCTGCAAACGCATAGGATCTGGCAGTTCAGCGGGACGCAGAGGGCAAGGCTTCCGGACAACCCTCACATGCCTCTGCTCAAGAAACCTGTCAATGCAAGAAGTCGTCGCAGCCCATGCCGCAGAACCTGAAGCAAGGCAACTCCCCAACTTTATTGGATCTGAAAACACAACCGGTCTCGCACCCTCGCTCCTGAGCAAGCAGTGCAATGCCTGTTGACAGCTTTGGGCATTGCCGGCGTTCGTGGTGCCACGGCTGGCCCGCCCACTTTGCACACGCACCATCAGTGTGGAGTATTTCCCGGTCCAGTCCGGTACCTGCAAAAATCTGCACTCTGGAATCCATATGTGCAACCATATCTCATCTGCAAAGCTAATGCTAGATAATTAGGCTCGAGCCGGTTGGAAGTCCTCGCGCTGTGTTGCTGCCCCTGTCTCTGCCGAGGGCACGTTACGTTGCAGCCATTCACGCAGGAGGTCGTTGGAGGGCTCCCAGTGTTGAGAGACGTAAACCTCACAAAGCTTTACGGCATAGCTTCACGGTGCACACCGGGACAAGCAAGACCCACCCAAGGTACCCTGACGAGATCTCCTCTGGCATAATCGAGTGCAAGTGTACTTGGTGAGTGTAGGCAGGGAACGAATCTTTGGCTGTGGTTGCAGCATTTCGGTCTGTTAAACGTTCTGGTTTGGGTCCGATCTTGAGAGTCTGAAAGTGTTGAGTTCACGGCTGTGTGGCCGAAGTTCACGCCCGGAGGGTGCCAAGTGGAAAAGGCCGGAAGCGAATCGAGCATGACATGGAGTCGAAGTCTCCGTAAACCCAAAGCATTGCATACATCTCCCAACCAACAATCTAGAGACCCCAAAAGGCTAAATTTAGGAACATACTTAAAGTAAGCGAGGAATCCCTGGAGCACTGAAGGCAACTTCCCTGCATGGATGAGCGAAGCAACGGCGATTGCCGGAGCCTCAGCACGCCGATGTGCATTGAGGGCACGTGCCACCTTCATCTGGTGAGTGCCTTTGCATCGCTCATATAGGGTTTAAGGCCTGCCGTCCTCGTCGACGCGGTAAATTAATGATAGCAAGCTTACATGGGGCCTACAGGGACCGTCGGGCGGTCACCGTTGCATGAGGGTGAGCTTCTTCGACAGATGAGCCCCAACCCCACCCTCAGCGCAGCCCAAATCCTGAACCTTGGACAACATTTGACTTGCAGCCCGAACCTAACACAGAAGTGCCCTAAGAGCTGTTACCCCTGATTGCAGCGCAACATCGTGTTTACTGATTGTGCCCCGTGGACAGACGTTTATGACACGAGCCGAGCCCTCTCACGGCTGTGCGTGGTATCCGCATCCTCCAACACCGGCCGGCACCAACACAAGGCTTCTGACGCCCAGGTGCGGTACATAGACCAGGGGCGATATACCTGGGCAAGCTGCGGACCGGAAAATCGGATTGCGAGAATCCGATGTGGAGATGGCCGCAAGAACGCAAGTCCACTGGCTCCAAAGTGAGGGCGGAGAGCTGTCAGCACGAGGCTAGTGGTGGACTCTGGCGCAAGGAACCTCGGCTTGGGTTTACCAGTCCCATAACATGCGCCGCTTCCCAAGGACGGCCAGTCTATACAATTGGTAACAATGAATAAGAACAGGTCTTCGCCCTCGTGCCGACGTGAACATCTCTTTCCACCTAGCATGGAGCACCTCAACTGACCTAACAAAATTCGTCGGCTCCACATCTCAGATCTACCTTCCCCGCCCGTACATGACAGAAGCCCGCGGCCACATCTTGGAGATGGTACTCTCATGTGAGTCCGTGTATGCCGAGCGGCATCGACAGAAACTTGTCGATCCCTTTGTCCCTCGAAATCCTGCACAGCTTCGGTGTTAACTAGGGGCTTAGAGTTTGTGTTGACGCCGCCTTTTGTTCAATCAGCTCACAATCCACCAACAGAGTGTCGTCATGGTGCACTAGAACAACACCACCCAAAACGCGCTCTCGGCTTCTGATATCAATCACTCATGGCTTTCCGCTTCAGCTCCCTACGACCCTTGTGATCCGTTTCGAGCCTAGGATTTTTTCGGGAGCGTTGTGTCTTTGCCTAGCCCCAGACATGGATTCAATATAATGGTAGTTAAGAACGGACTCCTTGACCGTAAGCACCATGTACATGAAATCACAACCTAGCACCAAACAAGCTGATGGTCGTGAGGCACTCTGCAGTCCAACAGTCCCAACATCTAACACTGCCACCCCGGAAGCACCAAATCCCTAAACATCCTATATACAAGCCCTACAGCCTCCAGGTCAGGCCGCTGCAGGACATTCTTGACCCCTTCCAGCCAAAACCTTCAATTAGCAAGAGCCGTGCTACCCGGTCCTTCCAAAACCACATATTGAAACCCTGCCCTCTGCCCCCGGCTCGGCTCCGCTCGGAGTCGTTGGACTCGCTGCTGCCCAAGATGTACAGCGAGTCCGAGTCGATAGCAACTGGGAGCTTTGATATGACTCCTATGACTGGCTTTATAACTTATAATGTTTAAACCGCGGGCTTGAGGGTCGCTATGCATGCTTACATGATTGCGCACAAGTTTCCCGGATTCTGAACACAGCAGCACACAATTCTGAGCATATGATCAAACGGAATTCGACGAAGGGTGTTGACAAAGCTGCGCTTTATAGTCCCATAGGGCTTCATAAGGTGCTCAGATTGTCCGAATAAATGTGGAAGCATGAATCGTGCAAAGACGTCATGGTCGCAGCATGTCGCCACGAGCCCTCACAACACCTGTCCCTTCTCCCAAAAAGGATCCGAACTGTGGCAATGACTAATTTCTTGATGCATTCTCGTACAAAAAACCATGAGGCTGAAAGAGGCACGAGGCAACAATGCCATCTATGCGCACGTGCGCGAGGGTTTTCATCTGTAATGACATGGACAAGGCGGCCCGAAAGTGGCAAGCACAGCGCCAAGCAGAATGCAAGCCGCAGCTCATGGCGGCTGGGCATTCGGTGAGTTTTCACAATGTCTGCGGGGCCAAACCGTTGAGGCTGCCGGACATCTTTCAGAGGCCCTCGTCTTGTGGAGCTCCTGGCCTAAATCCCCATCCAACACTTGAAGCCTCGAGGTCTTAAACCGCCGCATAAATGCAGTTTAAGAAGGGTGTGGCAGAGGCGGGGTCCGGTCAAGACTCGTTGGGAAAGTTCTCCAGGCTTGCAGTGCATTCAGGCTTTGAGGTAGACGGCTTTCCGAGCACAGACATTGGTGGCCGGTTTACAACCCACCGGCCGGATCACCAAAAAGTTGCAAACGGCCCTGCATGAAGGGAACATCCTGAATAGGATGATGGATGCAGCTTACGTGCGGCCTACAGCTACTCCATCCGGTGTTGTGCATGCTCTGCCTCCGGCTGGGCAGTGATTCCAAGCTGTTTCCTGGGCATGGACGAAGGAGCCAAAAGTAAAGATCCCATCCCACGATGCACCAAGACATACCGTTTGTAATGCCGGGATGAAGAATGCAAGACTCGAAGACTCGGCAACAAGGTACCGGCAACACGACACCAGTTTCGGATCTGATGGGGCGCCGGGATGCTGCATGGACTCAGGCCCTTCCCTGCCTAAGAACCTGAACCTGGTTCCAGTGCGGCACCTGGTGCAATGTTCATCTGTTTCTTCCGTCAGAATCTGCAACCCTACACCCCGCTGCGCGGCGACCGGTTGCACGAAGCCCAGAACTGCCGACTCTAAGCCTCGAGCGCTACGAGATTGCCCAGGCAACGGCCTTACAGCCACCGTTGGAGCAAGCACTCTCAAAGCTCGCCCTACTTATGGCGGTTTCTTTAAGATCTTTAAGTAACTTCACTACGCGGCCAGGGAAAAAGGTCGAAACCCAAAACAAGATGTCAGCTATGACTATGATCTTTCCGGACACTTGTGGGGCCAGTTTGTAATTTCAATCTCGCCAAAGTGTAGTTAGCATCTCGTCATCAACAGCCCCGACCCTGACCCTAATCCCTGCATCCAAGGCTGCTGTCTCCTGATTAACAGTATACGAGTATCCCCTATAGCCCATCTTACCGAACCTACTTGCAAAGTCAATAGAGCATACAAGAAACCCTAAGTCCCTATGTAGTCCTAGACTGTACACCGAAACCCCAAAACCTTCAACCCATTTCCGACCCCATCCAGATGGACTGTCTGCACAACATAGAAGCCTGAATAATCAGCCTTGCCATAACATACTCCCCAAATGCGTCGGACAGGGAGGGGAGGCAACACCCTGTTCAACTTAGAGGCTCCTGTGTCAGGTCCATTGAGGCCGCAGCTGCAGTGGACTCCCGGGAACTTGTGCCCGGAGAGGTAGACCTTGCGGGGGCAGCTTGTTTTCTCATGTCCTTTAGGGTCAGTTCGGGTCTGGTTTTGTTTGGGATAATGTAGAGTCTACTGGATTCAATCGAAGGCGATCTTGCGCCGAGGGTTTAAACAAGGCTTCATTATCTTAGCTTGGAAAAGTTGGCAGCAGGGCCCCGCCAGTTGCTTGAAGGTTTGGATCGGAACGTATGACGTAAACCAAAACAGCTGCATGGGCGGAACGAAAGCTGCAAGATTCATGACGCTTGTAGATGCTCATGCAAGAGGCTAGCGAAGCTTCGCCTCCCAGGAAAGAAGAAACCAACTTGGTTCGGCATCCCGACGGCTCGAACCTATCCTCATTATTCCTCATTCAGAAATGCACACACCCCCTCCGCCCGCCCTGACGCCTCGTCTAGCCCGAGAGGGCCGTTGGCAATAGTCGCACTGAACTGTGCAATGCGCACCTCAGCAGCTACAGAAGTGAAAGCTTACTTAGGAAGAGTGTTGTCTATACCGCAGCATTATGGACTGTCAACCTTCGGCCACAATTTCCAAAAGTTGATCTACTCTTGTACCTGTACATTTTACCCAGCACCCGACATCGACCTGTGTCAAAACAAACCAATCTTGAGAGAGCCTTAACCCAATTGCCAACAGCCCTATACACCCTAAAGATCCTTAAACCACAATAAATGCTACGACCCTCAACCCAAAAGTCTGTTTCGCAAGCTGGGCCCCAGCAATCCATAGCAATCCCTTCTAAGTTCGCAGCGCGTTCGTTGGCATCGGAGAGAGTGTGGTCCTCGGAGAGCCTTGAAACGGAGCCCTGCTGCTTATGGTTTACGTGTATGGGTGTTTCAGACACTTCGGGGTGTAATTATAAAACTTTTGGGAACTACTCATACCCACAAACACTGTATTGGCCTATCATCTTTTCCGAAACCCACATGTTCCGGGCAAATCAGGCTTCTTATGAAAGTTTGGCTTCCTTTCCACGGAGAAGAAGTAAAAAGAGAAACCCCGCTTCATGTGATCTTGGCATCGGTGAAAGAGAGATAGCTACCATCCTGGCATGGAAATGCAAGCCAAAGATGTCTCTCTCGCTCTCTCTCTGTCTCTCTGTCTCTCTCTCTCTCTGTCTCTCGCTCGCTCTTTCTGAGTGTTGGGATGTTCCCATTTGGGCCGGAGTCTTGGTCGCTGCGCGCGAGGACTGCGACACCCTGCTCAGGAAACCCAGTTTCAGATGTAGCACGTCAGTGCTGGAAGCCCCGGCTTCTTGAAGAAGTCCTGAAGTCTCGTAGATACTGTCGTGGCGAACGTACAGCCTCTCCGGAAACGGTCCAGTGAGAAATCAGCTTTCAGCTTCCATTGCGGCTGAGGTGCCTGACGCCGCTGACGGTGGTCTTGTTCAGCCTGACTTTTTCGCAAGCTAAGCTCCGTCTCTCTCCTTCCACATGGGAACTGCGGCCTGGGGTCTGGGGCTCGTGCCCCCGCCCCCGGCGCCTCTTGCTGGAGTTGCCTTCACTGGAGTGGCCTTGACTGGCGAAACGGAAGTTTCGGGCCCAAAGGCTTCAAGTCAGTTCGGAAAGTCGATTTTAATGCCACGTTGTCTGAGGGTTTAAGGCTTGAGCGTCGGGATAGTGAAGTACTCTTTCGCTGCATTCTGAGGCCGCTCATCTTGACAAAAAGCTGTCAGCGTGAGCTGAAATTGCATCTGGAACACTCTCTGAAGCCTCAACCCTAAAACCTGAACCTCTACACCCGATTGAAGCCTCTACAGACATTACGAGCGATGTCGTGGTGAAGCTACGATCAAAGGTCTTTTGATTTGACTGTCGAGAGAGGCTCGAGCTTCAGACATGGTGTACTGCCGGGTTTGCAAGAGCAGTGTCGGGTACTTGAGGGCATCGTTTCTGCGTAGGTTTAGGTTTAGGATTTATGGTGATCTTTTCCGTCGGTATCTCACTTGATGCATCCTTTCCTACAAAACCACCGCAGGCGCGACTTCTATTGTGCACAAATCCCGCCTCAAAGTACCGGGCTGAAAACTTCAGAGTGCTGCAAGCCCTGAACCCTCAACGCTGAAGCCTCTAAACGTGGAATCTGAAGCCTCGCCCCTTCTTGGAAGCTCTTCAACCCTGAGAGAGCACTGAAGACCCACTCGCCAAAAGAAGAGAACCCTTCCAGAACTCTTTGAGACTTCAAGAACCTTATCCCAGGAGGTGCTGAGTAAGGGACCCTCGGATCCGATAGAGGTCCGGCGACCGCCCTGCTCAGGACTCTAAGAGGCTGGTACACAAGTCTCTCCGACCGCTATGTTTTGGATTCATGGGCCAAAAGGCTTGGGTGCAGGTCCACGTCCGGCGATCATGTTTGCGGTGCTGACACTACAAGTGTCCGGGAGTACAAGTCAGGGGCTTAGGAGGGTTTAGTTATATACAAGGCCCAAGAGACTGGGATCTGGCATTCAGGATGTTAAATCTCTTGTTGAGGGACCTAGATCTTCCATTTCGACGGCGTCTTTTCACTGTGGCCCGAAAGATGGGCAAAGCGAATAACACAAAAGCTGCATAGCTTGACCAGCGCTTGGATCGCCTTTCATAGATTGCAAAACCTCTGGGATACGGAGGGGTGCTACTTAATCGTCAAACCCCAATAATTTCATGAGGTAGGAGGAAGCATCAAAAGGCCTTGCACCTTCGCAGGAGTCCGCTTGTTGTTATGTCTGCATTAGTAGACATCACGTCGTCAGATTCGGACATTTTCGACCAGATTCCTCGCCTCTGTCAAAGCACCACCTTCCTCGACGTATTCACCGACCACACAGCGGCAGTCGCCTGGCAGCCGTTATGGGGACAAATCTCTGGATCCACAGAAGATTACAGAAGTACTCAGCGAAACTCCATGAACATCTGGAGCATTTGCGTTCTTCACACTAGCGGCATTTTGCTGGGGTCGTCATTTTCAGGATCCTACTGCAATGGTGTGTACGGGGTTTCTCATATCATGTTTCGCCGGAGATCGGACTGAACCCCTAACATGCACAGAAGGGCACCCCTGACTTCTGAACTCCAGTGCGAAATCTTGGTGCAGCCAGCACGCCGACCCAGCTGGTGAACAACCACCTGGCACAGGGTGTTTGCTTCCCAGGCCTTCCTGCAGCCCCCATCCAACCCCTTCTGAAAGCCAGGAGTAGAGCTCGAGCCCCAACCATCTCACCTCTTCTTCATGTCGTAAACCACCACGCAGGCTGTCCTTGGCTGGAATTCTCATACCGACTGTGCATGTGTGCCACGAACCCGGCGAGGCTCCATCTTGAGGCTGAATCTTGGGTAAGGGTCCGCCTGGAACGCGAAAGGGTGGCAAGTGTCCTCGTGCATGACCTTCATGGCCTTGATTACCCCGACACCTCATGATCTTTGGCTCTGGCAAGGGGCTCATTCTAGCCCCGGAGTAGCTACAAGCCCTCTCCTGCCCAAACTCGGATCGGCCTTGTTGCGCCGAGTCACGCGCCGCTGGCTCTGGCATCTACAGCCTTCAACTTCAAGGAGTGTGCCGCTGTTGCCACAGTGCGAACTCTTGCAAGCAGGGCCGTGCCACTGTGTCACTCCTCTGCGCTCCCGAGCTGAAGGATCGACCCCGCCTCTTCACCAGAGAAAAGCGCATGATTCGCGTCCTTCTTTGATGCCACGGGTTCAAAGTGAGGCATGAGATTGACGAGGCAAAGACTGCAATCCAAAGGACATGATCCGGCCGGAACTGCCAAGCTCGGGTCTGGCTCGGGTCCGTAGCATCAAGAATTAGTAACGGTCTCCTTCAACCCTAGTCTTGTGAGGAAGATTGTGAGGAAGATCCCCCCAAAAGGGCTAGGGTTCGTAGCTTGAACGGCTACGGCGTTTCGGTAGCCTTCGCAGCTGTATTGAAAGGCAAAGCCCTCGCGGTCCTCTAAGGCCTTCAGAAGCATGCCGTGGATCCGGATCCTGCGTACGCTTGGTGCCCTTTTCGAGATGCACAAAACATATCCAATGCACGCTATACTCTGCATTCAGCCCTTGCGGTTTGGCCTCAGATTTCTGTTCATGGGACCTCGTATACAGAAGAGGACTGCGGGGCAAAGGGTGTGATCGGCATTATCGACTCCCGGGGTTGGGGGTACGTACGGCTTGGACTGCAAGGCCTGTGCTCGTCGACATTCGACGACCGTGTAGCTGGCAGGGAAGCAACTAGTCGGCGAAGGAGGAAGTCCCGGACCTGTCAGGCTTTCGGGGTTAGGATCGTTGCGGAGGACGCTACAAGGCAATCTCTGAGCACCCCAGCTGCTGCTGCCGCACGCTGGCCCTGTGCCCCGTGGCCATCGGCGACGGCACCTGGTCAAGGCATTCCCAAGCTGTACGCAACCGGCCTGTCGAATTGTATATGCGCATCTCAGAAACTATTACCATTCAGGCTCTCATCTTACAAGGCCTGCACAACTCATGATGGAAGCTGATCATCTGGTTTGCTCGTTGCCAGTTAATTAGGCTCCAACCTGCGCAAATGCATTCAGTACAAGGTCTGCGCCAGCACAGTATGCCCTCAGTCTCTGAACAGCTGCCTCTCACTCTGCTCCGTAGCCTTCCTGATCGCACGTGTTTGAATCTTAAGACCAAAAAGAAGCAGTTAAGAAAGGGGACACAAATCGGAAGACAGGCCCGGAGCCAGACTCGTCGTCCGACAACCGCTCTATCCCTGGGGGCCCGCTTGGCTCCCGGCAAAGGCGATAGCCATCCTTCAGCTCGACGAAGAAGGCTTCGTCCTTCCGGCCCCCCCCCCCCCCCCCCCACGTGAATCTGTTACCCGTGATCCTGCCCTAGCAGAGGCCCTCAGTCAGCACCCCAATGGAACCATGTGAGACCTCATGACGCCCTAAGAAGGAGATACTGTGTGTTGTTTGTTGAAGTAGTCTTTCGGGGAAAGCTTGGGCAAGCGTCTCGACATTACTTATCCCAGCAAAGTGGCCTTCAAAGTCTCATAACCTCAGCTAACCCTACAGACCAGGTGAAACCGTTACGGAACCTGAGTATAGAACCCTGATAAAAGTGTCAGACAAAGTCCAGCAAGGAATCGGCCAGAGCTCTTATAGAACCCCTGACAGAGCCCTTATGGAACCCTGGCAGAACCCCGACGGCCCAAGTCTTAAGGAGGGCGAGACTTCCGAGCCTGATTCGGACGCTGCCAGCTCGGCAGACGAGCGCGCTCTGATCCTCTGCGCGTTTGCTTACGTAGGGTTCTATGCGGCTTCTACACAGGGTTCTTCCGGGCTCTACTCAGATTTGGGGGTTTGGGTTTAGGGTTTTCGGGTTTACGGAATTCAGCCTCAGGGATACGGGTTCGAGGGGCTTAGGAAAATGTTCAAGGATTTCGGTCTTCAGAGATCCGAGCATGGGTTTCACTTCCCGAAAACTTCAACTCAGATACGGTGGTGCGTTCGAGCATGCACGAGCGTTTGCGTGTGTGCTGACATACATATATATATATATATACATATATCCTCACATGCACACACACACGCGCACATATGCATACATGTATGCTTGCATACAGATGAACATATGCTACAAGAGGCAAACGGTACACTACAATACAGTACAGCAAAAGACCAGACATGTCAGTGCAGTGCGATCGAAGAAGGGCACGCCACGAATCGGGCATGTACGTGTACATGCAGCATGCATGCATGCTATTGTTTAGTTTTCGCAGGCTATAATACACAGCATTCAATAACATAAGATTACCAGCTTAATCAGACAAGAATGCGAAAACGAATCGATGAGAGTCGATGAGAGTGTACTCGGTGGAAAGCCTGAGTTCTCGAGCCTTGACACCATCTTGGAATCTTGGAACATTCCACAACCTCAAGCTTCCGCTTCCTGTGGGCCCGTCAGATGCTGCATACGCTGCAGTCGAGAATCGGATACTTGCAAAGTGCTCATCCCCGATAGACTCGAGGCTTGGCAAGCCTGAACATTTGCATCCGCCGGCGATCCCAGGGCGCGACAGCCGCGACAGGACTAAAACATCCACCACCTGCCCAGCTTTCAACAACTGCTTGGGGCACACCTACCACGTGGACCGACTTCACGTCGAAGGCTGTGTCCTGGTCGGGCTTTGCGGGTTTGATGGACATGAACTCCAACGATCGAGCAGCACATGGAGTTCATTCCAGCGGCTCCTCAACCGAACTCCTCCTGCGTCCCTCCTTCATCTAGAAACAAACTCTGCATTTTTCCCATGCGAAAGCTCTAAACCCCGCAAAGTCACGAATCAAATTGACCCCTTGGCAAGCCCTGTGCATAATCATACTGTAATCCCAAACCTCACTCCAATCAAAAAAATACCAATACTGCCGGTCCCCGCACGTCCTGGGGCTCGAGGCTTGTCGACATTGCGACCACCTGAGTCGTCGATATACCGGCTGGGGTCAGTTAATGAATCGGAGAAGTCCTTATCAAAAGACCCCTAGATCAGGACGACCCTAGTATAGCATGAATGCATCAACATCTGCTGCTAAACATTAATTAGCTTAACTACTTCAGGTCGCCAGTGCTCGGCCCCTTCTTCCCGACATGGGCCATTAATATAGCATAGACTAGACTAGGTTGCTGGGGTTTGTTCAAATTGCTACCATAGCATGCCGCCATCACAGGGACTGAACGGACACATTATTCCTTATTGTTCACACCTGTATCTTATCCTGTGGCAGCTCTGCCACCTCAAGGGTCCATGAAGGATCTGACTGCATAGCGGGCACTGATAGTATGCTGGCGTCGTGCACGCTACACCCAAGAGCTCCTGGCTGTGTCGTAAAGTTGAAGCCGCTGACGACCGCAAGCTGAGTTTGGAACTTTGCTGGAATACCCGAACACATGGGCGAAGTGCACCAAGTTGAGCAAGGCCCATGATGGTATGATGGTATGGAGTCCTGACTGTACACCCTTGTAGAGGCAACGGGCTTGTGAATCAGGGAGAGCCGAGCCCGTCACGACCCGGTCGTGAAGAGAGGCCTCTGGGCGCAGCAGCTCCAGTGGATCGCCTGTTCTGAACCGAAAGTCACTTGAACCTCTCGAGACCCCATCCCTCAACCTCATACCGTGTAGTACAGCCTGGCTAAACCCTAAAAACCCTAAAGTCTAAACCCTCATAGGACTCCAAACTCGAAACTCCAAAATCTTGATCGCAACCTTGATCATCTAATTTATCGCTTCCTTCAGAAGATTTGGGTACCCTTCTGCAAAACAGGTCCCTAGCTCATTAACTGGCACCCCCAGACGAACAACGCCCAATAGTGATTCCGAGACGTAGGGTGTCGCATTGCTGAGACTGAAGAGACCCTGGAAAGAACGAGACGAAAGAGTTGATGCAACGAAAAAAACAATGAACCCTGAACCAGAAACCCGAAACCGCAAACGCTTAAACCTGGCGCCCTTATTCAGTCCTTCTTGCTTAGAAGAGCCCTGAACCTCTGTACGCTTTGGAAGCTTTCGGGCCGCCTTTCCGCTCACGAGGGTTCTTTCGGACTCGCTCCAGCACAGCGTGACGCTTCATCTCCACCTCTCGAAGGGTTTAGAGCCACCAGGGCTTAAGGATCTGGGGTTTGGGATTTGAGGGGAGCTCCAGGAACCTGACACTCTCAAGCCCTGTCGAGTCAACCCCAAAGCCACCGTTCCTTCAGTTAGCGTTTTGGCACGACTATACCGGCATGTCTGAATTCTGGCAAACCCTAAGCCTATGAAGCCGAAAGAAAATTCAACAGTTCCTCGACACCTGTCGGGCAATTGATTCGGCTTTCGGACACGAGGATGTTTACATACACCGCACTCGAAGGCCTCTTGTAGAAGTCTACATAGCCCACTTAACTCCTGAGGAAGCAGCACTTCGAAAACCCAAACATCATTGAAAACCCTTTAGTCCTCTGAAGCCGCGGCCTCTTCCTGACGGCTGTCTTCAAGGCTGCGGAGGCCGGCGCGCCTTTCAGAAGCGGAAGAAATTTGTAATCGCTTGAGGACTCAGTCCTTACGCTTTCGGCTTTGAGCTCGAGCAGCTCTTGGCTTTTCAACACGTCAGGCTAGCTGTCAAGCCCAGAAGAAATCCGAGGTGCTCGTGCATGCATGGGTGCAGCAGCTAAAAGCATGGCCTGAACGTATGCTGAAGGGAACTCGAAGCCCTTCCTTTGGAAAGGGGCCGAACCCTGAACTTAGGAGGACTCAACTGATTTGAATGCTTTCCTCACTTGCGAGCAGAAAGACGAGGTTGACAAGAACGCAACGGAATCCGACACGGACCTCGAGGCAATAGTCCAAGGCAAGTGCAGAACAAAGAAGGGTGCCCTACGGCACCATGCAAAATCGACCCCGCCTCCGCATCTCTTCTCGAAAAGTCTGTGCTTGGCTGTCGCTGTCCTCTGCTCTGGAAGGCTTCAAAACAATGAGCCGGCCTAGGGCTGTGGGGTATAAAGGCAAGACGGGGATGCGGAGATTCCTCCATGGGTTCCACTGGAGGTACAATTTGTACCGCGTGCAACTCTGCGACCAGCAGCTGGAGACGGAGACTAATTTAGGAGGGGAAGCGACTTCAAAGCAAGTGTGCAAGTGCAACCTTCATAAAGGGATCTGTCATCGAAACCAAACTGCTTGCGTGCAATACAAAGCCTCCGCAATTAGACTAGGGTTCGAGCTGGCCTGTTGCTGTAAACACATTCTATGCCGTAAACAGGTTTCTGGACTTCATTAACCATGTGATCCCGGACGTGTGCTCCCACATTCAGCAATAGCAGCCTTGGGAGCTGGAGCGGGCACAAACTCATGTAGTATGACGGCCACTGAGGCATCGCGGCCCAAGCGCCGAATAGCCCTTTCGATTGGCATCTTTCAAGCTAAGTGACCCCGAACCCCTAAACCGATATGCCACGCATGTATCTGAGATTTGTTTAAGGATGAATGTTTCTTTACACTCTCCACCCACGAAGTCAACCTCACACAACAAACCCTGGACTACCGATTCCGAAACCGGAAGGCCTTAGCACTGAGAAAGACTGGCCTCGTCGGCGTCCCCACCGCCAGCATCGCGGCCGAGACCTGGAATAGGGCTCTGCGATCATTCGGCTTGCGATGATGTGGCATACTGAACTAGTGAACTGAATGTTGACTCACAGGGCTTGGGGCGTTCAAGGACGGATGCTGGGCAGTTGAACCCTGAACCCCTATAAGTTAAAGCTGTCAAGCAACGGCGGCCTTATATACGTTTACGGCATCTGCTCCCCGAAAGGGAGGCATCCGTTGGAGGTGAGTTCGAAAGGCACAACGGTTCAGCCGGGTTTATGGGGGTTTAGCATTTGCAGGTAGGCTGGGGTTAGGGCTTGTGCAGTCAGGTGTATTATGCGGTTTATTCTTCTCGAGATACCCTTGACTTGAAGGCTTGCGCAGCTGTGTGGACCTGAACATCTACAACAGCCCGTCGATCTCCTGAACAATTCGCCGCACACCTTGAACTCCCGAAGGCCTGCCTCTGGAGTCCACGTCACTAGTTTCCGAAGCTACGGATTCATCGAGGCCCGATCCCTCAAACTACAAGTTGAGCAAATGACGCAGCCTTTGAGGATGACGGCCAGGTCGGAGCAACCGGCAGCTCGGATAATTTTGCCTCGCGAGACTTGGTGCCCGACGGCTGGGCTGCAGTATCCAGACTGTCGGTCCACTGTAGGTGCTTCTACAGGCTCTTTCAAACCCTCATCACATACCCGACATCCGTTACACTAAACCTCAAGCCCTGAACCATAGGATTTTCTTCATGTCACGAAACTCTCACGCGTGGAAGTAACTGCGATGAGGCTCCTCATTAATGAGGACCCCTATAAGCCCCATGTCACATCCCAAAGGCTGAAAGCAACAAGGCCGCAGAAGGGCAGTTGACAGCAAAAAGGGCAGAGTTTCCAACTGCTTTGCTGGGGCATAGACTGCAGGACACATTCCCCATCGCGCAAGCCTGGGGATCGTCATTGGTGGTTTGGGGTGCGGCTGGTATGTGCTCATCCAAGTTACAAAGTGCATGGCTGTGAGCCTCCTGCTTGGTTGCTTCGTGTATGCCTGAACCCGCTTGCTCCAATAGCCCTACTACTTGCGGATGTCTTGCATCCAGATGTACAGCTGAGGACACCGCAGGGCACGGCCAGGAAGAGCCATGTCCATGATGGTTTGGGGATTTGCAGTGGTTCCAACTGTTTCGGGAGTGGTCTTGAGATGGGCTTGAGGCTTCTGACTCGATGTAAGGAGTCTTTCGTGATGGCACACGCTGCCGAGTTTGGCGTTCTGCGGCATGGCTCGGTGAGGATGCGCTCCCAGGCTCACAGGTGTCGAGTGGGATGCTCTGGAGGCGGGGCCGAAATGGCTCAACTGAAGGTCTTCGCTCTGAACGAATGAACTGCGCGCAGCCCCGCACTCCTGCTTCTACGAAATCTAGCTGACGCGGGCTACTATTGGCTACGGCCTGCTCAGGTTAAAGCTACAAGCCCTAGTGTAAAGGTCCGACTTTAGGCTGTGACATCGCCCTTTGGATCCTGCATGCCTGAACAACGATCCGATACACCCCCAAAACCCTGTATTAAAACCCCGTACCCACAGCGGTGCCCTTTGCTTGGAATGAGAATGTGGCACACAACATGCCAGCGCGGACCTTTTTGACGTCCAGGGTTCCGGAAGCTCTCCGAATCAGCTAAGTGAGAGGGGATTTGGGGACGTGGTAATAACTCTTCTCCCTTCTTCCAAACAAGTATGAGTGCGTGCACAATCTGGAGTTGGATTGCACCATCTTGGAATCTGGGGGATGCTTTCTTCTCAGATTTAGGAGCAAATCTAGGAGCGCAAATGCTTCCGGCGAGAGCTGGCTGCTGGCTCCTCCTGTTTTCGCGTCTTAGTCTCGGCTTGCGATTTGTCGTGCATAGTGGGCGCAACTGCCTTTTCCGGATTTTCGCTCCAGTGATGGGACACACCTGATTTATTCTGATTTCAGGTGCAGGGCTGTTCCTTCCTCAAAGGATGCACTAACGTACCCAGGTGGCCTGCTCAAGACTCTCTTGTCAGAGCGTTGTATGTCGCGTGTGAACTCAAGACTCACGTGGAGATGCCGCTTGTTGAACATGTTTTTTCATTAAGGCTGAGGGCCTGAGATGGCCTGAGGGCTCTGGATCGCTCCTCACGTTCAAGGTTATGGGTGGATAAATATCCCGGAAATAGCCAGCTGTAACGATTTAGAGAACAATTCGCTACTAGGGTGCGACCTGCCAGCTCTCGTATGTATATCGTCCTGTGACAGCGGCATGAATTCTGCCGGCATCCAGGCGTGCGGAGAAGCTCATCCAAGTCTAATAATCCCAACTTGCCGAATATTCTGA